GGTGCTTAGTTGCTGGCTGGGGCTAAACCACGACACCTCTCTAAGGTAGCTTCACAGATCTGAGGTTGGTCTTATTTATATGCTGGGAGATGTGGCATGGTGTCACACCAGCAACAATCTGTCCAAAAGGTGATGGTGGGCTTTATTTGTACCACACTTTCAATCAAGTTAAGAAATGTCCTAAAATCTTCAGCAAGCCCCAATGATGCACTGTGAGCATCCAAAAAACCTGCAAGGGATCACTGATACACATTCCAGGGGACTAAGGAATACCCAAAATGTCAGTGGAAAGCTCTCATTCCAGTGATGCCAAAGCTAAGGCAAATAAGTCAGTCTATAACATTACGGTGCAAATCTGTGACCATGTGGCAACTTTTTCTGGTCACATGGCAAATTGATTGCTGTTGCCAAAATGGAAAGAAAGGATGGGCAGTGGAGGATATTTTTTCACCAGTAAAGAGGTGAAAAAGCAGGATGCTTTTGCATCTGCAGGGTGGTCCTCAGTCCTCCCCAAATAATTTGTGGCAAAACACACATCTTTTCATCATGTGTCTGGGGAACCTAAAAGAAGCATTTGAGTTGGAGAATGGGTCAGAATATGTTTGGGAGCACTGTAACCCGGCTAGGCTAGTGTGGGATTCCTGCAATACAGCCTGCCCCTCCACCTGTAAGCTGGGAGAAGAGGGTATAACTGCCTGCTGGGGCAACAGCTCCTAAACACCACAAAGATCTACTGCTGAGAGCACGAACTGGATGGAGACAGAATGCTTGACATCAAGGGGCAGACCAGAAAGCAGAGAAGGATTCATAATGGCCTGTCTAAGACCTCAAGGGTCTTAGAAACCATCAATAGAAGCAAATGCATCTAAGGGACCAGAGAAATGGTCTTAGAAACAATGAGAGTCTGGGCAACCATAATTCAACGGTGACTTCTCACATCAATTGTGATAACTTCTGTCCCAAAGGCAAGTAAATAAAGAAGAGAGGCAAACAGACAAGAACAAGTGAAAGGGCTATATTACCTTGACAAAATAAGTAAAGTCTTGTTTTGTTAAAGAAGGCTGAAGTCACCACAAATGCTCTGCCTTACAGAGGGTGATCGACTTTGTCTGAAGACATAGGGTAATGTATGAGAGGGGAAACTGATCTGAGAGGATACTATTATTGCCTTAAAAAATCCTAATACATCAAGAACCTCCAGCCACAAATGTCATGGCAGAAAATCACCTCAATGTTAAATAGGCATGTGGACTGTCACTGCAAGACAAGAGCATTTTAGTTATTTTCACACTAGTAAAATCTGTCCAGATCAAAGTTACTCCAATGGAATTTATCTGAAAACCCAGAAGTCCTGGACCCTAAATCATCTGTCATGTCATGGTGTTTATTTATGCAAGACATGGAAAGCATGATTTCAAACCAGAATTTCAGGAGACGGTATTCCATGATTTATATGATAACATGATTGTGAAGACCGTAGCAAATACAGAATTTGCCTGAAGCTTTCTGAAATACCAAATTCTTTTTTTTTTTTAAACAGGCTTTCATACCTGCAATATGTGCAACGGGTTGCTGACAGTTGGCAATATAATGCCCTTCTTTTCCAGAAGTGCCTTTATTCTGTGAAATCCTGTTTTGATTTTGCTGAGACTGGACCTTGAAACAGCTTTTTTTTATTATGAGCAACCCTGGGAAGACACAGGAAAGGGCAGCTCTGGTTTGTTTATCTGAAGAAAAGATCTCTCTGTCCTCAGCACACAGCCTCAGCACCTTGCTGTCTCCTCTGGGGACACCAAATGGGGCAAGAGTTCTCCCAAGTCTATCAGGCTCTCCCCTTTGCAGACTGAAACATAAACCTACCAGCTGAACCAGGATGACTGTCTACCCTCTGAAAGAGAGGGTTTTTTCTGCAACCAGCTAGTTCCGTCATTAAAGTGTACAATTATGTCTCAAATCCTGCTGTTAAAGCATAATGAAGAAGTTGACATTTGCACGTAACAGTTCTTTATTTTCTTTTAAAAATCAGTCCTGGCAAAAAAAAAAAAAAAAGGCAAACAAAAAAATCCACATTCCTGAGATTGCATGACTGAACTAAAGAAAACTAGGGCATTGCAAATTTATAGCTGCCTGTACAACTTTCAGTCTGTTTCTTGCATGTGTGTATTCTTACACAGTCATTAAATATGTAACCAAAACTTTTATCCCCATTGTTTTGACTTATTTAGGGTACAGAATAAACATCTGAAGGAATAAAATTAGGACTGCACAAACAACTGTAAATTTAGCATTGCTTATTTTTAAGTGTCGAATTAAACATTTAAATGCAGTTTTTCAGAATGCAACAATAGCTACTATGTCCTACCTTTTGCTTTAAGCATCCTCCTATTTTTTCCTTCTCCTTATTTTTAATGCTGTTGCTACCCAAGTAAAAGTATCACTTATGTGATAGAATTCTTTAAAATGACAGGCAATTATACAATGATAATATGTAATCCTGTGAATAAATACATGAATTCTCATCTTAAAACTGCTTGAGCTTTAGTTACCATTACTTTTACTAAGAAGTTATTTCAAAAGCTCACTTCTCTGATGGCTACACAAAGCCATTTCCAATTTCCAGCCTACATTTATTCACGGCAAGCTTACAAATCTTGCTCTTGGTACAACGGTGGTTTTTATATCTTAAAATAACTCTATTTCTTTTCAGTGTTTACCCCTTGAGATGACAACAAATTTATTCCCTTTTTTGGCATTATTCTTCTAGTCTGAGCAGGCCGACCTCCCTTATTTTCCCACTGTAAGATAAAAGCTCTGTTGCTCTAATCATTCTGTTGGTCGTTCTCCGAATTTGTTGTGCTTGAAATTCAGATTTGTACAGCATATTCTGGATGACAAATTATACGTGTCTTCTAAGGCAGTATTAATATTCTCTAATCTCTGCTGAAAATTATTCACCTGGTATAGACTAGGACTGCACTGACATTTTTCAACTCCCAGTTTAGAGAAAGAGCTCCTGCCTTTTTTCTAGTGAACTTATTTCTGACAGTCCAGTCCTCAAGATCTTCCTGTTTACTATTCTGAGACTCTTCTGTTTTAATTGTGTCTTATGACTTTATGGCCACTGTAAGTATAATCAGCACACTTCAACTTTATGCATCAAGGTCACTATTAGAGACGTAAAATAAACCTGGTCCGGAAGACTGAACTTGAGAAATTTCCAGCCCAACAGTGAAGTCTGATATTGCCTCCTCACTTGTCAAGTCTTTGGCCATCTCTCAGTTTGCATACTAATCTTCATCCTCCCTCTCTAGTTTAATTGTACTTACCCAGAATGTACTATTACTAGAAAAAGTACAAGGTGTATTTACAAATTTTTCACTCTACATAACTGTAAGAACAACATATATGAAATGAAAACCTGCCCTATATATCTGGGAGGACAAGAGTTCACACACATTCCTTCCTCCCTGCACCCATATAACCTGTCTTAGCTGATTGATCCAAAAATAGGGATAAATGTGCAGGAAGGAACCATATAAAGTCTGGTTTTACATTTACTCACCATGATGTAGACAGAAGTGAATACATGGGTGTTAAAAAAAATTATACTGGTATAACAACAGTGCATGTTGGACAAGGCACAGGTCCATAACAAATCTTAAAAATAATTACGACAATTTCTGTGTTTCAACTACAGAAATAAGTAGATTAGCAATGTATCTTACTTGTCCTGTCATATGACTCATGACACGTATGTGCAATTTCAGCTCCAAGCTGCAAATAATGTCCAGCTTTATCATCTCTGGAACCATCTGCTCCAAGGGCAAACATTCCCCCTGCAAAACAGGTCAAATGGCCCATCTTTCTTTCAAGGTGCCCGTTCTTCCACTCCCCAATGAAGGTCAGTCCTCCATTGGACTTTCTGATGAGATGTTTTTCTATTGCCTACAAGAAGATTAAGAGAACTGTCAAATACTGTTTCACATGCAAGTTTTACATACTAACTCTCTTTCAAAGAATAAAGTACTGTTTTCAAAACAAAAAGAATTTTCTTCTTCTTTCAACTTAACTTCTGAGCACTACAGGAACAAACAGCTATAAGAATATAATTTCAATGCACACAAAAAAATACCCTAACTGCTAAACGATGCTAATGAGATCAAACAGGAAAATCACAACATATATAACACAGCACTTTTAGCTGAGAATTCAGCACATATATTATAGCTCAAACAACATTTGTCTACCTGTTAACTCTGAGAGGTACCTATTTGATCTGCTGTACAGTCTGTGCATACTCAGAAAATACATCCACGTTGGAAACTTTTGGTCAACAACATATGTAAAGGCAGCACCTGTACTCTCAGTCAGTCTTTAATAGGAAGCGACAAGAATGCTCCAGCCACCTTCTAACTGCTTCTCCATAGCAGCACATGGTCAAAGGACGGGTGAAGGTGAACAGCTGTTCACAAAAAGCATTATTATTTTATAGGTGAGGCAACTACTTCTTTTTCTTTGCACATTTGTATGAATATATGTTGTTGCTTGTGACTTATAAATGGTATTCTTCTGGTAGTAGGAAGGAGAACAGCTGACCTAACTTCCAAAGTTTGCAAACTACATGGAACACCACATTTACTTAAGCCTCTTTCAGAGACATTCACAATGCCCACCAATCTACTGCAGTACTTAATACCTTTAGCATTAGACGGTTTTTCTTGTACCTAGAATCTCCTTACAGTTTGGGTCCTATAATAATAAATACAATTATCTTCTTTACCATGGAGACATTATTCCTATCTCCTTTCCAGAAATCTCCTTTGTACTTCCACACATAACCATCTGATGGGTTCACAACTTCCTTCAAAGTGCATGACCTGTGTCTGGTCAGAGTACTCCAAGGCTGATTAGAGTTGAAATGCCATTAAAAAGGCATTTACTACTCTCCTTACCATCCACAAGATCTATTACAGAAGTGAGTTACTACCCCTCTCCATTACTTTTCTGGTACCTACAACAAATTACATCCCAAATGTCCACAACTGTATTTTGCACTAAAACTAGGTATACTGAGAACACACATGCAGAGGATCCCGCATATAACTAAAGTGGTTATCATGGATGTGGAGGTCATGTCTCCTGCAGACAGTTGTCTCGTTGCTACCTACACAGTGCAAACTACCCAGTTTGGTACAATACAGATTCAAGCAGTAAATACATAGATTAATCAGCTTGCAACTTGTAATTCAGGATTATAAGGGGACAGTGAAATAGCTTTTCCCTCTAAATAAAAAAAAGTGAGACTGTCTTTTGTTTTCAACGAAATGGACAAAGGAAAAGCTTCAAGCTCTTCTGTGACTGTAGTAGGTATTTCAACTTTTTTTTTTTTTTTTAAAAGAAGCTGATGCTCAAGTGATACAGGACTGTTAAAGCAGCTGTACTGAACCCAGCAATATTTGATAACATGAAAGTCCCCCATGCAGGTACTGAAATAACATCTGACAGTCTTCCCAAGTTTTCTTCAACAAAAAACTTTTCTAAAAACAAAATTATTGAAATGACAGTTAGAAGAGGCAGAATTTGTAGGATTAGAAACCTCATCTGGGGAAGACGATAATATAAACAGTAATCTGAAATAGTTGTGTTTCTGAATATGTATGTGTTTCTGTATGGTTTTCCAAATATGTTCTTGACTTGGGATGCTGCAGTGCTTGCAGCAACTTTTCTGAAGGGTTATAGTGATGTGAATCTACACCTCAGCCATTTAGCCAGTGAAGATCTGGCAGTCCCCATATGTCCAAGGTGAATGTACTAGCTAAAAGCCAATGTAGCAGATTACAGGGAAAAGACTGCATTATCAGTAGGGTCCTGCTCCTTACTTGCACTGTGGACCGAGCCATCGTTTGGATGGTGAAATCTCTCCACTGCCCTCTATTGAGCCTGTGCATTCTGAACGTAATGAAAGAGAAGTGCTGGTCTGCATTCCTGTTGGGTTAATTTCTTCACTAACACCACTGACAGATCTGAAGTTTGTGCTTACGGCAGGATCCAGCGAGAAGAACGCAGAAATAACTGACAGAGATAAAACTAGTAAGTCTCTGACAGCTGCCAGAGTGGTTGTCTAACAATCATGCAAATTGGCATTGAGGACTGGCATGAAACCGTGGTTTCTGATGCTAGGGAGCCTGATGTGGTTAACTACAAGCCTCATTTGTTCTGAAAGTACTGGTATAGGAAAGATTGGATCTGCTGAAAATTCTGCCACTGAAGATGACAGTAAGATCTGTAGCATTAGCTCTGTTGATTCAATTATCCCAGACTGTGACAAAACTAACATTATGATGATTATACGCTTTTTTTGACCGTATGGTACATAAAAGTTGAGGAATCCTTTTAAAAGGAAAGTAACTTTTACTATGAAGAGCAGGAAGGCTTAAAAGGGTTTGGATTATGTATTTCCTGGAGAAAAACTCCCCCCCCTCCCCCCAATGTTGTGTGAAATTCCCTTTTGATTTGTATCTTTTTGTAATTTCATAACTGTTGAGGAGTAAATGGCTGCAGGAGCATTTCCAGGGGGACAAAATCACTGTGGTTGGCACCAGGAGAGCCAGCAAGGGCCAAATTTATACACTTCTCCAATGAGCTACTCCTTCACTCTAGACTTGCTTTCAGGGTTTGACTGAGGAACATCATCTAGGTGCAATGTACCCCTCTTCTGAACAGAGAACACATCTTCTAAACTTGAACATCACTGTCTTGTATAAGGGGTAGTTTCTGAAATCTGAAAATCAAGTTCTGTCAGTTACGTAATTATTAAGTTACATCTTAAGAGTCACAAAGGAAGCATCCCCAAAAAGAAAATAAATGCAACCCTCTCAAAATACTTTATCATTCAACAACTCACTGCTTGCTAACTGTATAAAAAGGACAATCAATATTTACAGTAATTGACAAGGAACAGCTAGGCATTGCTGGGAGCACTGCCTAGTGGACAAGAAAAGCTTGAGCAGGTTGGGACAGATGTGACATTGGTATCTTGGGCTGGATGCCTGGGGCCACAGAGCACTCCAATAGGTACTGTAAAGCAATGACAGACAGCTAGACTATGAGGAATATACATGCACTAGAGTGGACATGTATACTTCAGCTCCCAAAGAAAAGACTTAGTTCACATCAACTTAGAGATTAACTGATGGAAGAAGCTTCCTTAGTCTGTGAAATGCCCAAAACAATAGACAGAGATGTGACAACAGAATGTTCTCTATCTGACATTCATGCTTTCTATGATTTTTATTACTACAAAAAATAGTGTTTTCTGAGCTGTCTTGCAGCAGTACTTGCTATGTTGTGATAGTCAAACACACTGCTGAATCCTTCTTTTAGCTATTTAATGCTGTGCAATAAGAAAGAGCAAGGATCAAATTCATGAGCCTAACAGATTAGGCTACTCAAAGCAACAGATCAAAAGGAAGCTTCCCTATCCTCTGGCCAACATGAGAAGGAGAAAAGACACTTTAAACCAGACTAGGTGGGAGGTCCACATGATGATGCTCAAAGCAAAGTTAAGAGGCCCATCCTCAATATTTATCATCACAAAAAATTCTCAACAAGTTTCACAATTTCGTTTTTATCACAGCTGTGAATCTACATACTAGGACATTGAAATGAGGTGTCCTTTACAGTGGAAGACTGCACTAATGTTATAGCACAGAGAGGTCATGGATACAGAACTTGTTCATACTCTTGTTATGAAGTATGTGGTGACCTGGGTAAGGCTTCATATGCCATGGACTGGAAATCATGACATTGGAAGAAAAGATGCCATCATCTTTCTTAATACCTCCAAGTAATGGGGTATCACTGCCTACTGCAAGGCTTGAGAGTGACGGTATGGTTGTTTATCTTCCACTCTCCCTCCTGTAAGAATCTAAGGGAGTGAAGTGTGGCTGGACAGAGACCTCCTTTTAGACTGGTGGGTGCTGAGAACATTTCCAACTCCGTGCTAAGAGTGGGAAGAATGTATTTTACACCTTTCCTCTTCTGCTTGCATAAATGACGCAAAGAAGTTTTCCTCCAAGTTTTGGGGGG